TGCAAAATGTCCAGCAGCAAAACTCACTATCAGCAATGAAAGGCCTGTGTAGTTTTCACAGTTGCCATTTTGAATGACCTCATAAAGGGAACTTAAAGAACATAGATTTCAGGTTTCAGTTCCTATAGAGGACTCTCTGATAAAGCTGTCAAAAGGTACAGATAAAGGTATTATTCAAGCCAGAAAAGAATTCTGAAGAAAACACATAAACACAATTCTAGGAGCTGTTGCAGTTACTTAGAAAAAAAGCTGAGCATTTAAACGGCTGGAGGAAACAAAAAATAAGTCTGCTTTGGTAATGTTTTTCCAATGAATACACTTCCTGAGACATAAAGCAGTATTTGCCTCATACATATTCAAACAAAAGGTCATAATTTGTGTTTCTTTTATTGTGAGTTAGTTTTATTTGGTTGCAAATGATAGTATATTCAAAATTAATGTTATTTTTGGAAGTGTATTCATTTCAATCACAGTGGACTATGTGGTCAATAAAGTTGAAATTTCTAGATTGCAGACAAAGTGAAATTAGTGTTTGTATCAGACAAAGTAAAGGTAGTGCTTGTATTTTTAGTTATGGACATTGAGAGATGCCACTGTTTTAGTTATTACTGTGAATTGCCCCTTGCAATCTGTAAAGTATATGCTTAAGAGTCCTACATACTATCTCAGGGCACCCTCAGGTGTATCTTTAAGGCGAGAATGGTAATTTCATTGGAGAAATGCCTCTTCTGTGGAGCCTGTGGAGGATCCAGTCCCTCGAGGTCTGATGGATCCAGAGATGGGAACGAGTAAACACGGGCCAGCAGCTGTGCCAAGAGCATCCACACGGCGAAGGCACATGTGAACTGTTCCCTCTCCATCGTGAGCCCCAGACCCAGGTTTCCAGCCATTCACCAACATCTCTGTGGGGCAGGCCCACTGGCCACTTAGCCTCCACACGTCCCATACCACCTGAAGTGTTTTTCTTTGAGACTGCTCCTCTTCCCAAAGTCCCCTAGCCCAGGTGTGGACATCTCCTACCATCCCTGCTCCCTCATCCCAGTGTCCTTCCCCCAGCAAACGGCCTTGCCCTGTTGGTCTTGGCTTCAGAGTCACCCTCAGACTGGCTGTCTCTGTGCTTCCTCATGGGCTCTGGTTTGACTCCTGTCCGGCAGTGTCTCATGGATCACTTCCATGTGTCCACTCACTCCCACAGATGTTACCGAGCACTGACTCCATCTCATTTTCTGTGCTAGGCCCTCCCTGCAAAGGTATCTTTCTCAGTCATTTGGAAAAACGGGTTGTATTTATCTCCTCCCCACCATCACGCATCTTTGATGGCATTTGATGGCATCCTTCACCAGCAAAACACAATCCAAACTCCTTAGCCTTGCAATGGCCCCATCCGTGCTGCCTGTTTGCCATGGTTGGACCCCCATCCTGCTCCAGGAGCAGGGAGGGCACTTGAGGTGACCTGGATGCGTAATGCAATTTGCCTAGCCCTGCCACAACCATTTAGAAAACTGAAACAAAAAAACCCACCAAGAGCTTCTTGCCAACATGAAGTAACAGGGGACTGGATTTAACCTCCTGCCTGAAACAACCCCCAAAATAGACAAAATATGGGCAGTGAAGGACCACAATCCCTGAGAGATAGTCAGCAAATGAGGTGACCCTACCATTGCCCCAGCTGACCATCTTAAGAGAATTTTTCAGTCTCAGTGCTGGGAAAGGGAGTCTGAGGGGGACCAAGGCCTGGAGATCAGAGTTCTCAGAACAGAGAACCAGAGAGGAAAAAGGTGTACAAGAGAGAACTGGGGAATCTGCAGAGACTCTCCCTTGAGTATTCAGTTGAATGCTGGTTAGCACAGGCATGTGAAGAAACTACTCGAGTCTGGGAAAAGACCCACCTGAAAGGATTAGAGATGACATTGCCTGGTACTCACACAAGAACAGTCCCTATTCCCACGTAGTTCAGTGACATCGGACACTCTTGCCTCAGAAGGGGGGAATAATTAGCCCTAGACTGAGCCCTGCCTTTGTTGAGCCTAATGCTTTTTAAGATCAAGACTCAATTCTCTGCCTTCACATTTGCACTGGGCCATATAACCTTGGGAAAGCAGGTAAAGGGGTGGGGAACCTGCAGCCTTCTGATTCTAAGATTGTTCTTTTTAAAGCACCAACGGAGGCAAGAAAAGCTTCATCCTCCTTGCTGCACCCCTTTTAATAAAAGGATTTGTTCCGTAAAATGTGGATTCACTGAAAGGCTGCACTTAAGGACCTAGAAGGCCACATGTGCAAGCCCTGGGAATGCTGCTAGACTAGACAGCCACGTGGACACATCCTAGCACACGCACAATTCACGTCAGCAAGGGCAGCATTTCCCTTCTCCTCTTGAGGATTTGCCAACCCCTTGAGTAGATAATGGAACCTAATCTTACAAGTATCATGGTCTTTCTGGTGAAAGATCCGTCTTTCCTGATAGCTTTTTGAGTATGTACAGTGTTTTGTATACTTGTGTATCAAAAAGATTTAATATCATTATTTTGAGTCTTTGGTCATTTTGTGAATCATGTTTATTTTTTTCTGTTTCTGGCATGGATTTGAGAGTCAGTTTTTTAAGAATGAATTGCACTTGGACAGTTAAAACCCCATGAAGGGTACCCTCTAAGATACAGCATAAGAAAAAGATAACTGCTTTTACCATCTGACTCATTTTATGTTTATTCATAATGCTCAAAAGTTCTAGCTAGTGCAATAAGGCAAGAAAAAGAAATAAAAGGTAACAAAATGAAAGGGAAGAAATAAAACATTTGCAGATGGCCTGATTGTCTACATAGAAAATCCTAAGCCTTCTTCAAAAAATTTGCTAGAACTAATAACTTCAGCAAAACTCATAAGATATCAGATAAAAACACAAAAATCAATCACATTTCTATATAGACATGTGGAAAATGACATTAAAAATACAAAAATGAACCTCAACCTAAAGCTCAAACTGTATTCAAAAATTAACTCAAAATGAATCATAGATTTAAATATAAAATATAAAACTATAAAAACTTTTAGAAAAAAAAAATAGAAAATCTTCAAGATCTAAGGCTAGGCAGAGTTCTTAGACTTGACACTGAAAGTATGACCCTAAGAGCAAAAATTGACAAGTTGGGTCTCATGAACATTAAAAATTTTGTTCTATGAAAACTCATGTGTAATGGACTGAATGTTTGTGTCCCTCCAGAATTTATAAGTTGAAATCCTAACCCCTAATACGCTATCAAGAGGTGGGGCCTTTGGGAGGTGATTAGATCATGAGGGTAGAGCTCCTGTGAATGGTATTAGTGCCCTTAGTAAAGGGACCCTAGAGAGTTCTCATGTCCTTTTTCTGCCAAGTGAGGACACAGTGAGAAGTCAGCCATCTGTGACCAGGAAGCAGACCCTTACAGAATCTGACTGGCTGGCGCTCTTGTCTTAGATGTCCAGCTTTCAGAACTGTGAGAAATGAATGTTTGTTGTTTGAGCCACCCAGTCTGGTATTTTTGTTATAGCAGCCTGAGCTGAGTAAGACTCTATGTGAAACAGATAAAAAGACAAGCTATAGAGTAGCAAAACATATTTGTAAACCACATATCCAACAAAGGACTAGTACCTAGAATACATAAGGAACACTCAAAACTCAATAGTAAAAAAAAAAAAAAAGCAAACATTCCAATTAAAAATGAGCAAAAGACACGAATAGACATTTTACAAAAGAGGATATAAGATGGCAATAAGCACATGAAAAGATTGTTCAACATCATTAGACATCAGGGAAATGCAAATTAAAACCAAAATGAGATATCATTACTGACTTATCAGAATGGCTAAGATAAAAATACTGACACCAATTATTTGCAATGATTCAGAGAAACTAGATCACCCATACATTGCTGATGGGAAGGCAACATAGTTCAGTTACTCTGGAAAGATTTGTCAGTTTCTTATCAAAATAAATATGCAATTACCATCCAACCCACCAGTTATACTCTTGGACATTTTATTCCAGAGAAATAAAAACTTATGTTCGCACAAAAACCTGTATATAAATATTCACAGGAGCTTTATTTGTGATAGGCAAAAACTGGAAACAACCCATATATTCCAGTGATGATTAAACCAGCTGTGGTATATCCAATACCCTGGAATACTTCCCAGCAATAAAAATAAATGAACTATTGATGCATGCACCAACTTGGATAAACCTTAAAGGGAATTATGCTGAATGGGGGAAAGAAACAATTCTGAAAGGTTACATGCTATATGGTTCCATTTATGTAACATTCTTGAAATGACAGAGTTACAAAAATGGAGAACAGTCTAGTGATTTTCAACAGGATAGGAACCGGGGATTGAATGGGGAGCAGCGAGAGACGGGTGTGTCTATGAAAGGATGACATGGGGGACCCGTGTGGCAATGGAACTGTTGTGTATCTTGACTGTACCGATGTCAGCATCCTGGCTGTGATATTAAACTATAGCTTTGCAAGATGTCACCCTTGAGGAAAAGTGCATGGAGGATACTCACGCTCTGTCTCTATGATTTCTTACTCCTGCATGTGAATCTACAATTATCTCAGGATAAAAAGTTTAATGTAAACACTTGGCATTTCATTAAACATTCATCAGAATTTTGAGTTACCGGTTGTGATTGGCAAACAGTGCCCACCTCCTTCAATGTTGGCCACCTCAAGAGTTTCTTGGACAACATTACTGAACACTCTAACAATTATCAAAATTGTGAAATGCATCACTGAGTATTAAGAATAATTTGATCAGCATTGTAAAAGAATCAACAAATGTGTCTATAGTAAAGGCCAGTTTTGATTAGGAAATATGCACATACACACACACACATACACACATACAACTCCATGAAGTGAATGGCAGTTGCCCACTCTGATTCTGGGCCCTGACAGAAGGACCAAGAATTCTGCCATCCTGGCTGTCATGACAAGGCTGACGTTCTCCCACGTCTTTTCTCACAGGATCTCCTCTTCAGCGTGTGCGCCCTCAACGTGGTCTCCACCATCGTGTGTGCATTGGCCACAGCCATGTGCTGCATGCAGATGGTCTCCGCCGACGTCCTGCAGATGGTGAGTGGCCCCTTCCTTCCTGAGCACACTCAAAATGACGGCCTGGCCCCCTTCTTCTGTAGCTGCTTGAACCCTACTTAGAAATGGGCACCTCTAGCTTCCAGCCAGATGCAGGGACGGCCACGGGCCCTGACAGTCCATGGCACTCGGAGGTCACCTGTGCTGCCCTCTGGAAGACAGAGCATCTGCACATATGGTGCCGTTGATGCATCTATTCTAGGTGTTGTTGGACCTTCGTGTCAAAAGGTCCTGCCACTGTTGTGCCCTCCTAGATGGCCCCTGACGTATGTCCCTGAGTCATTTTAGTGAGAGTCCTGCAGCCCTAGACATCCTCTGGGCCCAGGCAAGGCACCTTCCTCAGGCTTCAGAATTCTCTTTGAATAAAGGAAGTTTAGAATTGTTAGCAAATGAGTTCTTCTGTAATTTGAAAAGTTGCCAATCAGTTCCTTTCAGATTTGACAATGAACACTGAGCTCATAATCCAGTGGCCGACCACCGGCCGCCATCTGGCCCTCTGGCCAAGGTCTTACAGAGGAAGACTTGCTGCCCCCAGGGGCAAAGGGGACCAGGAGCTGGGGTCACTAATACATGTTACAATACATGGGTTATTAATACACAAATCATACATGATGAAGGCTTTCCGTTGTTTCTATGTGAATGGAACAGCCCACTATTCAGATGCTACCATTAAGCTCAGTCAGTGAATAGGAATTGATGGGAAGATATTGTTTTTCAATGGTAAGCATAGGAATCTTTCTCTCTTTCTCTCTCTCATCTCTCTCTCTCTTCTCTGCTCTCTCTCTCTCTCTGTCTCTCTCTCTCTGTCCCTTTCTCTATCTTTCTGTCTCTCAGCTTGCCCTTTTGAGACCTACCCCTGTCTCCCACACAGAGGGGTTTAATGCATCTTGTTCAAGAAAAGACAAATTGTTCTTACAGTAGTCTTTCTTATGTGTTCTTTCTCGTCCTTTCTGTGGCAGTACATCAGTTAATCAAGATATAGGGCCAGAGAGCATCATTACCAGGATATTAAAAATTCATTGGCCCTAATTGCATGCCGTGCGCAGCCTCTCCTCTTGGTGCATATCCACACGGCTGTCACAGCCAGGCTGACCTTTCTGAGAGGTTGCAGTTTTCTGAAAGGTATCTAATTAAGCAGTTATTCGGTAGCAATGAACTTTAGCCCTTGTTCATCAGGGCCTTGTGTTGGTGATTTTCTCCAGCATGTCGTGCAGAGGAAAGGTTAAGTACCAGGGTGTTCTCCTCACCTCAGCAGATTTTACTATTGATCTGTAAATATCACATCAATTTGACCAAAGGGATGTAATGCTAAAAGTTTGCATTCCCCTAGTTTTAAGCATTAAAATAAAAATTGCCAATTAAATAACAACAAAGTATATTCTCACTGTGATAGTGCATATAATTATAACAGCGATGTGCAGAGTCACTCTGGAGTTGCAATGTGTGGAACATGAGCAGACCTGGAGCCGTGGGTCTGAAGTCAGCATGCCTAGGTCTGAGTCCCAGCTCCTCTGTGTATGAAGCAGGTGACTCTGGGTATGTCACTGAACCTGCTTGTGCCTCAGTTTCCTCAACTGTGAAATGGAAGTAATGGGATGCCTGGTGATCCCTCAATAAGTGTGATCTATTTTGATTTGCCTATTCTGGACATTTCAATATAAATGAAATGATGTGATATTTGGCCATTTGTCTCTAGCTCCTTTCAATTAGCAAGACGTTTTAAAGGTTCATTCATGTTCCTACATGTACCAATACTTCATTACTTTTTATGGCTGAACAATATTCCATTGTATCAAGATACCACATTTTATTTATCCACCCATCAGTTGATGTTCATATGGGTTGTTTCTACTTTTTGGCTATTATGAATAATGCTATTATGAACATTCTTGTATAGGTTTTTGTGTGGATATATGTTTTAATTTCTCTTGGATGTATACTTTAGAGAAGAATTGCTGGGTCATAATGATGACTTTATTTTTGAGGAACCACAAGACCATTTTCCAAAGCAGCTGCACCATTTTACATTCCCATAAGCAGAGTATGAGGGTTCTGGTTTCTCCACATCCATGCCGACATTTATGCGTCTTTTAACTATAACTACCTTAGTGGTGGTGAAGTGATATTTCTTCTGGTTTTGATTTGCCTTTCCCTGATGATTAATGATGTTGAGCACATTTTAATGTGCTTAATAGCTATTTATGTGTCCTCCTTGGAGAAACATTTTTCAGACTCTTTTTGCCTATTTTAAAAATTAGGTTATTTGTATTTTTATTACTGAGTTGTAAGCATTCTTTATATATTTTAGATCTGGGTCCCTTATCAGATACATAATTTGCAAAATTTTTCTCCTATCCTGTGGGTTATTTTTTCACTTGATGGTGTTCTTTGAAGCACAAAAGTTTTAATTTGGATGAAGTGCAATTTCTCTAGTTTTTCTTTGTGGATTGTATTTTTGTTGTCTTATCTAAGAAATCATTGCCTAATCCAAAGTGATGAAGATTTACTCCTATGTTTTCTTTTACGAGTTTTATGGTTTTAGTTCTTACATTTAGGTCTTTAGAACATTTTGAGTTAATTGTTGCATATGGTGTGAGATAGGGGTCCAACTTTATTCTGTTCCCAACACTATTTGTTGAAAATATTAATCTTTTCTCATTAAATTTTCATGGTAACATTGGATAAAAATCAATTGTAGAAGGCCGGGCGCTGTGGCTCACGCCTGTAATCCTAGCTCTTGGGAGGCCGAGGCGGGCGGATTGCTCGAGGTCAGGAGTTCGAAACCAGCCTGAGCAAGAGCGAGACCCCGTCTCTACTATAAATAGAAAGAAATTAATTGGCCAACTGATATATATATAAAAAAATTAGCCGGGCATGGTGGCGCATGCCTGTAGTCCCAGCTACCTGGGAGGCTGAGGCAGAAGGATCACTGGAGCCCAGGAGTTTGAGGTTGCTGTGAGCTAGGCTGACGCCACGGCACTCACTCTAGCCTGGGCAACAAAGCGAGACTCTGTCTCAAAAAAAAAAAAAAAATCAATTGTAGATATATAGGTTTATTTCTGGACTCTCAGTTCTATTCCAGTGATTTATGTTTATCCTTGTGCCAATACCATACAGTCTTGATTAGCGTAGCTTTGTAGTAACTTCTGAAATTGCTAAGTATGAGTCCTCCAACTTTGTTCTTCAAGACGATTTTAGATATTCTGTGCCCTTGCATTTAATATAGATTTTAGAATCAGTTTGTTAGTTTCTGCAAAAAATCCAGTTAGGATTTTGATAAGGATTGTGTTAAATCTGTGAATCAATTTAAAGAGTATTGTTGTCTTAACAATATTAAGTCTTCTAACCTATGAACATGGGATATCTTTCCATTTATTTAGATCTTCAATTTATTTTGGTTATATTTTATAATTTTAAGTGTACAAGTCTTGTACTTTTGTTAAACTTATTCCTAAGAATCTTATTCTTTTTGATGCTATCGTAAATGATGGAATTATCTTAATTTCATTTTCAGATCATTTATTGCTAGTGTACAGAAATATAAATGATGTTTTATATTTTTTTTTTTTTTGAGACAGAGTCTTGCTCTGTCTCCCAGGCTAGATTAGAGTTCTGTGGCATCAGATTAGCTCACAGCAACCTCAAACTTCTGGGCTCAAGCAATCCTCCTGCCTCAACCTCCCGAGCAGCTGGGACTACATGTGTGTGCCAACTCACTCAGCTAATTTTTTCTATTTTTAGTAGAAATGGGATCTTGCTCTTGCTCAGGCTGGTCTCAAACTCCTGAGCTCAAGCAATTCTCCCACCTCCACCTCCCAGAATGCTAGGACTACAGGCATGAGCTACTGCACCTGGTTTATATTATTCTTGTATTCTGAAACCATGCTGGACTTGTTTATTGACTTTAATAGTGAGACTTTTTTCCCCAGGGATTTCTTCTATTATACAAGATCATGTCACTTGCAAACAGAGATAGGTTTACTTCCTTGCTTTCACTCTGGTTGCATTTTTTTTTTATTTTATTACCTTAATTGCCCTGTCTTGCACCTTGACTGCAATGTTGAATAGAAGTGGTGAGAGTGGATATCCTTCTCTTGTGGCTAGTCTTAGGAGGAAAGCATCCAATCTTTCATTATTAAGTAATATGTCAGCTGTGGGTTTTTCATAGATGCTCTTTATCAGATTCAGGAAGTTCCTGTCTATTCCTAGTGTATTAAGTGTTTTTTTTTTTTTTATCATAAAGAAGTGTTGGGTTTTGTCAAGTGCTTTTTCTGCATCTATTGAAATGACTATGTGATTTTTGTCCTCTATTCTATTGATATGGTATATTTATATAGATTGATTCTTCTGATGTTAAACCAACCTTGCATTCATGAGACAAACCCCATTTGGTCATAGCATGTAATCCTTTTTATGTGTTGTTGGTTTTGGTGTTAGAGTAATACTGGCTTCATAAAATGAGTTTGGATATGTTACCTCCTCTTCTATTTTTTCAAAGAATTTTTGAAAAGTTGGTATTAATTCTTTAAATTCTGTTTGTTTGTTCTTTTTTCTTGTTTTTGTGTGTGTGTGTGTGTGTGTGCGTGTGTGACAAAGTCACTTGCCAATCTTTTTAAAACATTTGATAGAGTTCACTAGTGAAGCCATCTGAGCCTGGACTTTTCCTTGTGGGTGGTTTTTTTTGATTCAATCTCTTGTCACATTTTCTATTTGTTCTCAAGTCTGTTTTGGTAGTGTGTGTCTTTCTAGGAATTTGTCCATGTATGTAGGATTAAGTTAAAATGTGTTAATTATATATGTATTATGCTGGTATGTGTCTATGTGGGGGGGGCATGAAATTTCCCAGTCTTGTTTTTTAAGAGACAAGGTCTTCCTCTGTCACCCAGGCTGGAGTGCAGTGGCCTGATCATAGCTCACTGCAGCCTCAAACTCGTGGGCTAAAGCAACCCTCCTGCTCCAGCCTCCTGAGTAGCTGGGACTAC